TCCAGACATCATAGCAAATATTATGTAAGAGACAAGTAAATGAGTGTGAGATGGAGGCAAAGTGTGGTAGGTATAAAAAACAAAATTAAGTGTATAGGTGTAGGGGGTGGGAGGTGGGAGACAGATAAGAAAGGCATAAGGTGAAATTTGAATTGAACCTTGTAGGACAGCATAAGTAATATGAGTGCTTGAAATATTTCAGGAAAGGTTGCTAGTCTTGTTTGATTGGCATGCCAGCATTTGTGGAAGGATAGAAGACTCTGAGGCCAAGAGGGTGAAGATGATGGAAAGCCTTGAATTCCCTTCAAGTAGAAAAATTATCTACTTTGGTATCTACAGAAGAGCAGATTATACCTAACAGCACCGTCTATCTAACTTTGGAGTAGTCATACTCAGATATTCATCATCTCTGAGCCTGGTTCAGTTTCTATCCAGTGATGAGTATAAAGAAGAAGCTAATTATCACTGCCACTACCACCATCATCAAACACTTATAGAATTGAATGTTTAATGATCTATAAACAACAACTTGGATTATATGTGATACTTATAAAACTAGGGTTATCTATTCCCTATTACCCAGCATTCTTCATTCTTTTTCCCATCTGATATTTTATTCTAATTAGTTTTTAATAAACTTAATTTTTAGAGCAGTTGTAGGTTCACTACAGAACTGAGTGGAAGGAACAGAGATTTCCCTTACACTTACATAGGCATAGACTCCCCTACTATCAAAAACCAAACAATTGTGGTAAATTGTTATAATAGATAAACCTACATTAATACTGGTACATCATTATCACCCAAAATCCATAGTTTACATTAGGGTTCACTCTTGTTGTACACTCTATGGGTTCGGACAAACTCAAAATAACATGTATCCATCACACAGTATTATATCAGGTAGTTTCACTGCCCTAAAAATCCACTGTGCTTCACCTATTTACCCCACTCTTTTATTTTGCAACAGAAATCTATTCACTTTTTTTCTCATTATAAAGCAATACATGCTCAGTATAAAACATAATTCATGGGGGGAAAAACAGCATCACCCACCATCCAGGGATGAATATAGTAAATATCTCAGTGTTTATTTTTCCAGACCTGGGTCCTACTGCACATACTATTTTTCAGTTTTTTTTTTAAATAATAATACATTCTGGCTCTGCATCTGGGGATGTTTGCAGTTCTCAGCTCTTGGGCCAGCTTCTATAAAAATGTCCACTATTCATGAAATTCTGTGCAAGCTCAGCTTGGAGAATGACCACTCTACACCCCTAAGTGCATACAACTCAGTCAAAGCATACACCAACTTTTATACTGAGCAGGATACTTTGAACATTGAAGCAGCCATCACGACTAAAGGTGAATGAGGTCACCATCATCAACATATGATCAGCTGTAACAATGAACAGAAACAGGATATTGCCTTTGTCTACCAAAGAAGGACTAAAATGTAACTTGCATCAGTAATGTAGTCAGCCTTGTCTGGCCAACTGGGATTCAGATACAGATGACTCGGGGGCCTACTGAAAATATCTGCTCAGTATGAGGCTTCCGAGCTGAAAGCCTTCTTCCTCCATGAAGGGTCTGGTGACTGACAAGGACTCTCCATTGAGATAATCTGCTCAAGGACCAACCAGGAGCTGTAAGAAATTAAGTCTACAAGGAATAGATCTGAAGAATTATCTGAAGAAGGATACTGTTAAAAAAAAAAGGATATTGTTTTTGACACATCTGGTGACTTCTGCAAGCTGATGGTTGCCCTTGCAAAGGGTAGAAGAGCAGAGAGGGTGGCTCTATCATTGATTATGAACTGATTGACCCAAGATGCCTGGGATCTCTATGATGCTGAAGCAAAGAGGAAAGGAGCTGATGCTCCAAGTGGATCAGCATCATGACCGAACAGAGGGCATGTTGCCTCCAGATATTATTTGAAAGGTGCAAGAGCTACAGCTCTTAGTCAAAGGAGACCTGGCCCAGTGTATTTAGAACAAGTGTGTTTTGCTGACTCCATCCAGGAAGACAGTAAAGGCAATTACCAGAGAGCTCTGCCATACCTGTGTGGTGGGGCTGACTGAAACCTGAGATAGCATGAGCATCCAGAAGTGGTGTTCCTATGCTCTCAGCTAACAGTTCTAGAAAATCAGCTTGCAACTAATGGCCCCCATGTGCCCATTCCTGTAAGGATGATATTAGCATATCTCCCCCAAACTTATTTTAGTTAGGTAGGCATTGCCTGGCTTTCTCAGCTACTCTCTCTTTTTAGCCCCCCCCTCAAAAAAAATGAACAAAGAAGTTGGAAGTGAAATCTATGACGCGAAACACATTGTCTCTTGTGTGCTATGTTGTAAGCAGGTGAATAAACTGAATTTTTACTTTAGAAAGAAAACAAAAATAACTTAATACATTACAAATATCTTTCCAGGTTAAAATTCCATTACTCCAGCGTTTTTAAAGGCTGAATATTATACTTTATGGATGTTCTGTAATAAGAAGAAGCACTCATTATGTACCAGCCATATCTTATCTCACTCATTTCTCAGAACAACCTCACAACATAGACATTGTTTCCATTTTAAAGATTAGAAAATTGAGGGCCAGAGAAATTAAGCAACTTGTCCAAGGTTGTATAGCTAGTAATTCCTAGAACTGGGATTCAGCTTCAGATAATGAAGGCTAGTCATTTAACATATTCCCTGCTGTTGGACATTAATACTGTTGCTACATTTTTTGCTTGCTCTTATAAATAATGCTATGACAACCTTATAGCTGAATCTTTGCGTACACCCTTAATGAGTTCTTCAGGATCAATTTATAGAGTTGAAGTTTCTGGCTCACAAGGCTGTTGATACACATTGCCAAACTGTCCTCCAGAAAGCTTATTCAAATTTACTTTCCAGCAGTGTGTGAGAATATGGATTTCTTTGTACCTCTCCAATATTAGATATTACTGCTAATTTTAAAATATTTGTATTCCCATTCTTAAGGCATACTGTAAAGATAATCTACTTTCCAAAGCAAGTAGAAACTATTTTGATTTATCCAGTTTGGGATATTCTCCCCCAGTGCTCTCCTTTATTAGCACTGATCACTGAGAAGTTGTACATGCACCAAATCTAAAAAACTTAGGTTTTCCTTTAAAAAAACAACAAAAAATAAAAACAAAAAACAAAAAACAACCCTTCAAATGTTCCCTACCTGCTTTGGCTCAGTGGATAGAGTGTCGGCCTGCGAACCAAAGGGTCCTGGATTAGATTCCGGTCAAAGGCACATACCTTGGTTGCAGGCTTTTTCCCGGCCTGGGCCCTCATCAGGGCTCCTGCAGGAGGCAACCAATCGATGTGTTTCTCTCACATCGATGTTTCTTTCTGTCTTTCCCTCTCTCTCCCACTCTCCCTAGAAATCAGTGGGAAATATCCTCGGGTGAGGTTAACCCCCAACAACAAATAAATAAAAAAAATTTTAAAAACCCTCAAATGCACACATACCTTTGAATAAATTTTAATACATTTAACTCATGCTGCTGATGCTCATATCATCATCATCCAAATGCCCAGAAAATTCACAATATAGAATTGAAACACTAAGGTTTATAATCTAATTAAAAAGACATACTAACCTGATCTTAAATATATACATATACTCTATATACAGACATTATGGTCCTTTAGCTATCTTACAATAACATGAGTAAATGAGTGGATAGAAGGAGATTTGTTTAATGAACAATTCTATTCCCCACCACCACCCAATATAACATTAGTGCATTTGCAGTTCAAACAAAAAAGGGACTCTAATAAATCTGACAAATTCAGTAACTGAAGGTAATCTCACAGCTTAATGTATGTAATCATAAATTCCTAACTGGAAAGATCAGGGGTGGGTAATCATACTCCAGGCCTATAAAAGGTTTATCTTTGCGGTAAGCAAGACCTCTCCATTGTTCTTGTGCACCTGGGTTAAAATTCCTATGAAATGCCAGAAGTACACATAATCCTCTTTTCCAGACCCCTCAGAGGTATAACCACTCTCGAGGGAGCACAAAATCTTATTTAATCTTCTTTATTTCCCTCTTTAATTCTAAATATATAAAAAGAACCAGAAAACTGTCATTTGCCAGAGCATTGAGATCTTGCTTCCCAGCATGTCATCAGTTTGGCTCAAATAAACTCATAAAATTCTCTACAGATTTGGATGTTTCTTATGTTGACAGTGGAGTAATATTGAATATCATTTGACAAAGAGGAAAACGTCCAGTTCTAAGATTAGGAGGTAATATTTAAAAATGAGTTCCAAGCTATAACATTTCACTGAAATACGCTCTATAGATTCCATCATGTTAAAAATCATATGAGAAGTCTATGAACAATTTATTGTCGCCCAAGAGGGTTGGCTCAGTGGATAGGGCATTGGCCTGCGGATTGAAGGGTCCCAGGTTTGAATCCGGTCAAGGGCACAAGCCAAGGTTGTGGGCTCGATCCCCAGTAGGGGGCATGCTGGAAGCAGCTGGTCAATGATTCTCTCTCATCATTGATGTTTCTATTTTTCTCTCCCTTCCTCTCCTTTTGAAAAAAATAAATAAAACTTATTTTTAAAAAGACAACCCTTAATTCTGCTGCAGTTTCAGCAAAACAAGTGTGATTGTAGTCAACATGTTTATGTGCCCTTCTGTAATGTTTCTGGTTTTGAGAAACAGTGTTTCTCAAAGTGGGAACTTGTCAGAAATGCAAATTCTCAGACCGCACTCCAGACTTTCTGAATCTGAAACCCTGGGTTTGAGGGCCAGGAGTCTGTATTTTTGTCTGTTTGTTTGTTTGTTTTACATTTCTATTGGATTGAGGAATTCTTATAGAGTAATAGACTCTGAGTATCAGTTAAATTTATCTTCAGTAGTCTGTTTTAACAAGCTTTCCAGGTGCACACTCAAGTTTGAGAACCACTAGTTAAGGCCAAGAGCACAATCTTGGCCAGTGAGGATGCTATAAGCATTTTCTTATCAGACAGTGTTGTGTCATAAATGTTGTACTGTTTCTTCTAGTTCTTAATCTGTCAGGTTGGAACACCAGTGAATTATCACTAAGAAGAAAAAGAGATCATTTGTCATTTAAAATCTATTATAAAAATTTTTTAAAGAAATAAGATTTCAAAAGAAAAAAAATAAGATTTCAATACTCAAACAGCAATGCCATTAATCTAAATGGATTCTTTTTGGAGATGCCGTGCAGATGTAGAAATTAAAACACACATAAACATGCACACACACATACACAAAGCCTTAGTTGGCTGAGCCTAAACAAGTGTCCATGTAAGGTAAGGAATTCTCAAGCATGCCACTTTACCTTTAGTCATGCTACCAAGAATAAATATAATTGATTGTGGCCTTGGAAATACATAATTTTCTGTTTCAACCTGATTTAAATTTATGATTGGAGCTACAATGTGCCAGTATCAAGTCCCTCTCAACTCCCAAACTGTCACAGGAATAGGAGGTATAACCAATAGCAGGGGTCCATAGAACTGAGATTTCTTTCTTTTTTTCTCTTTCTTTCTTTCAACCTAATCCTTATGGATTTGAGAGCAATTCCTATCTTGTATGTGCAAGTCAATAAACTCTACTACATTAGTGAAGATGTGCACAGCTCTGTTCAAGGCAGGAGGTGGAAAAACAGAGGACAGGAAAGAGCAAGATATTTTCTTTAAAATTTTTAAATTTTAATTGTTTTTTTATTTTTCAATTACAGTGACATACATTATTATATTAATTTCAGGTGTACACCCAGTGATTAGACATTATACAACTCACTAAGTGATCATCCCAATAAATTTCATACCCATCTGACACTATACATAGTTATTAGAGTATTATTGACTATCTTCCCCATGCTGTACTTTACATGCGCATCCATGACTATTCTGTAACTACCAATTTGTATGTCTAAATCCCTTCCTTTTTCACCAAGACCCCCCCCCCCCAACCTCCCTCCCCTCTGGCAAATGTAAAAATGTCCTCTGTGTCTTTGAATCTGTTTCTTTACTTCCCCGTTTTGGCTGCTTCCCTAGGTTTGTTTTTATGCTACATCTCCTGGACTTGGTAGAGTGGCCTTGTATAGTAGTTGTCCTGTGGGGTCCAGTGATGCAGCCTCCCCAGTTACCCGAGCTGTGTGCTCCATACGTGCCACTGAGTGAGCTGTGTGCACTGTCCTGTTATAGTTGAGCATTGACTGCTGTTGGCATCACTGGGAGGGACTGACCCCCAGGCTGATCAGCTGCAAGGACTGGCTATGACTACAGCAGGGGAGCTGCTGTGCAGTCCATCCTATAGAGCAGGAAACGCTTCAGTGGGGCTTTGGTGCTCACTGAGTCTGCCCCTTGAATGTATTGCTCATGGGCCACATTCTCACATTGCAACAATGGACTGAAGATGGTGCTTGTGTCCTCAGCTTTGACAGGCCCACCCTGCTGCATATTTTGGACACTGAAAACGTCATCTTTTCCTTTTTCTGTCTTCTTTTTGTTATAACTTTTAATTTTCAAACACTTTAAAACTCACAAGAAGTTGCAAAAAGAGTACAGAAGGTTTGTGTGTACCTCTCATTCACCCTAATGATCATAAGAAATCATCTTTAACAAAAAAGAAATCATCTTTTTAATTTTCTTTTTGGTCTTTTCTTTTCTTTTCTCTTTTCTTTTTCTTTTTGGTCCTTTAAAGGCAATCATGTGCCAGGTCTTTTAGGTTTCATGTCTATGACCTCACTTATATCCATCTTACTCTTTTCAGTATCCTGCCTCAAACCAATTCAAAGCCATTTTACTTTTCTACAGACTCTGCAAGAATATAGTTGGTCACCTCACCTCTGCTCTTTCCCCACTGCCATCGCTATAACAGACTACCAGATCACCTTCCTAAAGAACAGCTTGCTCTCCTGCTCACAACTTTCAGTGATTCTCTGCATCACCTGCCAAATTCAGTTACTTTTTCACTATAACAGTCAAAGCCTCCATAATTTAGCTTGAGACTTTGGGATTTCGTGGACTAGTACAATTTCATAACAAAATCACACAGTAGCTATCATTTTCTTCTGCCAAGTAAGGTTATTAAAAAACAAACAAACAACAAAACAACCTCACCAGCTACCAGCACCATTGTTTCATTTATAAAAGGACACTTGGTAGTTAAAAACAAAACAAAACACGCTAGCACTAGCAATCTCTGAGTAAAATATAATCCTGCCCAGGAAAGGACAATTGGAAACTGCATAACAACATATTTAATTATGCTGTACTTATTATTTAAAAAAAAACATGGATTGGTGAAAACATCACCTAGCATCAGCAATAATTAGCAGATGAACATTTGGGAGACAGTGATGCAGGCAGAGTTGGCCAGTGATCTGGAATACACCTATGCTTTTCTGCCTCCAAGCCTGTTCCATATAGGAATGTTGACACAGTTGTCCAGCCCCCTCTCTTCCAGTCTGCATCTTATCAATCCATTAGGATTAATCTAAAATGCTACTTCTCCAAGACCCTTTTCCTTTTCCCTCACCAATCCCACCAATTTCTCATTCCCTTCTTTGAATTTCTCTGGCACTTTCTTTCCCTCCCTAAGCACAGGTCTAACTCTAATACATTTAAGTCCTTTGTGTATTTATTTTTCCTATTAAATTAAAAGCCTATTGAGCCTTGAGATATATTTTTTCAACATGGTAATTTGCTTTTTCTTCTTTTCCCAATCATGTTCCCTATAAAAACAGGAATATATTCCAGCAGTCACTTATAAGGATGTTGGGGGACACTAAGGGTTACATATTTCAACTATCTTTTGTGTCAGTGTGGAGGTAATTCTTATGGCTGGCAATTATATTCTCCCTTAAATTTCTGTCTGCTAATTTTATTTTATAAAACTATAACTGAAATAAATCAAGGCAGCATTTACTCAATTGGTACAAGTCACTCAACATGAAATTTGTAAAATCCTAGGTGATATTTACAACTGAGTTAAGTGCTACACTACTTACAATTTGGAAAAAGTGAAGGTAATATAACTAGATAGATGTTTAATGCTCCACATCAAACCATCAGTAAGCAGCTCTGTCTAAACTACAATATATGTCAGTTATAGTCCCCAGTCATTCCTCATGGCCACTATTGTTCTTTCAGGTTTGTAAGATTTACTAAACCAGATGGTTGGCAAACTTTTCCTACAAAGAGCAAGATAGTAAAAACTTTGGGCTTTGTGAACTATACAATCTCTTTTGCAACTACTCAACTCTGCTATTGCAGTGGGAAAGTGGCCATGAACTAGTAAACATATTGGCATGGATATGTTCCAATTTACAAAACCAAGTGGCAGGCTGGATTTGGCCCAAGGGCAATAGTTTGACTTTCAGACAGAATTGATGCAGTGACAATTTAAACTCAGAGGTTTGGCTAAAGGTATTTAAAGTGGGAAGGCACTGTCAGAAATCCAAGAACTTAATTTCTAATTCCAATAAAAGCTAGAGAAGTAGAAGAAAAAAAAACTCCTTTTAAATACAGTTATTGACACCAGTAGTGAACTAAGCCAACTAGAGGGCTAAAGAGTATAAAGAACCAAGAGATTCAAAATTGTAGACATTGGTATTTCTATTAATACAAGATGTACTCAAAAGAGTGCAGGGATTTCTTAAACACAGTAACACATGCATTAAAGAATTAACATTTAAGGAACAAATTCTGCAAATGCTGGGGCAAGAGAGACTGAGTCTTTATGTACAGGAAGTATCAAGCAAAAGTGGAAAATTACTTGAAAGAAGTTCAACAATATTTAGCAACCTGTGAAAGAGGCAAGGCAACAAGTATTAGAGGCCCAACTAAGAGAATGTGAGAAAAGTGAGCAGTGTACATGTGCAACTGAAAAACACTGAGGTGAAAATGAATTCAACTAAGGTTTAAAGTAATTCTACTCTAACTTTCTCTTCCTTCAGTGTAACCTCTCTGATCACACCCTAAACTTGCCCGAACAGCACAAAACATGCCCATAGATCATCTGGACAAGTTTCCTGACCTCAGGCATTTCATATCCCATTCCTGTTACTTCTTTTTCATAAACAAGAGGCTTTGGGCTTGGTCCACTTTGAGGTTTCTTTATCTTTAACTCCTTCTAGATAAAGATGCACTTGCCCCACAACCCTTCTATACAAATTTCTCTTCATGCAGCAGGATCTTAAGCTATAGAATTTGACACTGTAACTATACTCTCATGATAAAATAAAAAAAAATCAAATCCCTTTCAGAACAAAGCAAAGTATGAAGGGATAACTAAAATCACTCTCTTTGTTTCCAGGACTTTGGGGGTTGGGGAAGGGTCCTGCCACCCCTGCCCTGCTCCAGCACTTAATATATTAAACAGGATCCACATGGTTCCTTCAAGTATATATCCTCTATCATCAATATGCAACTTGGTTTTTTTTTTCATTTCATAAGGCTTCCAGGAAAACCAACATTCTCCCTAAGTGCTTTCTTCTATTAGCAGAGTGGGTTCATAATAATTTATCCACACAGCAGGATTAGAGTAAAATTCTCAACACAACATGCAGAATTGCTCCCCGCATCCTTTACTTTTCTATCTGCCTATTAAAATGGTAATGTGTTATTTTCTGTTTAGTCTTAGTTTGCTTTTCATTTTAGAACACTATATTCTCCCTTTCCTCAAATGACCAGAAAGCTGCATTTGTTTAGAGTTAATCAGCTTAGATGTTGATCAGTAGTGGACAAAGCAGTAACTTAGGAGTCAGGAGACACAGGTTCTTAGTACTGGCTCTACTGCTTTGTCATTTTGGAGATTTGTGGGCCTCAGTTTCCTTGTAGGTTAAACAAGGAAGGTAGATCTGGTCTTTGAGTTTACTTCTAATAGTTTCTATTTACAACTACGGATTAGTTTAATGCCAGCAAAAGGTGAGGAGCAAAGTATGTAGTAAGTACATTTTTGACATTTTTACAATATTGAGAAAACTTTATGATATTGGGATGTGAAATGCAAGATTTCACTTTAAAATTCTATTCTAAGAAAAAATAAGCGTGACTCATGCTAGGCCTTTGGATATGTGCAGAAAATACAGTTAACTATCAGTTAGAGCAGTGTTTCTAAATCATATTTGTTTCAGTATCAGCCCTCTAAAGAGCCTTTATATAAAGTTCTCCTCCAATTGCACTCCCTTGAAAATCCCCATGAAATGTCCATATATATATAATATATATATATAATATGCTTTACACATAAAAAGAGTTGTGTGTTTTTTTTCCCCCACACACACCTAAGAACCAAGTTGGGGGCAATATTAGCCACTGAGAATACAAAATGCAAAATTTAGATAAACTTTTTGTGGTACTTAAATTTTTGGTGCCAATAAAAACTATATATATATAAAAGGCCCAAGCTTATTTGCTTGCCAACCATTTCCATTTGCTGGAGGTGAAGGTCAGAGGTGACAAAGCAGCTGAGAGAATGACAAAAATTAGTCATCATAGAAAATATGGAGGGGAGTGTTCAGTTTCTTCAGAGGAATGGATAAGAGACGAGGTGAATTAGAAAAAGTCAAGCTCCACATCAATTGGTTGCTGCTATTGGGTGCTGCTGGACTTTCAGAAGAGGAGATTCAAGTTCAAATCAACCTCGGGGTGGGTGTGAGCTTTCCCTCTGGCCAGCCTCTCCCACTCCCTTCTAGGCTGAGGGTGGGATCTTTGGACGCCAAGACCAACAGAGATACCTGCAGAACCTTGATGAATAAAGGGATGGGAATATTTTTGGAAGTCACTTTCTCCAACTCTTGCCACGCCCCCCGCCCTCTGCCTTTTCCAGTATCTCAATCCTGCTCACCCAAGCTCAATGATCAAAGGGGCGCTGTAGGATCTTCTCAGGATGTGCCGGCTGTGATGGTTGAACTTGGCAGCAGCTCCACGCCTAGTTCCATTTTCTCCTGTGCCATGTCCGTGTTGAGGCAGAAGCTACTGCTTAGTTCTATGATCTCAAGGTTTTCTGGCATACGGACAGGTCAACTTGGTGAGGAGATGATGTAGGGAGAAACGGGGGAGAAGAGAAGAGAGGAGGAAGCTATTAGAAGTGCTCACCGTTGCTACCTTACCAGCCCTAATACTAGCAGGCACAAAGTGGGGCAGTGCTGGCTCCGAACCGACAATACCCCCCTCCCCCGCCTTCAAGCTCGGGGTCACTAACGCTGAGATCTTCCGCCTCCAAACCTATATTGAAAATGAATTTGTCTCAGTTTACGTCCGCAAATCCTTCTCTTTTATTTTGCTGAGCCAAGGCAAAAATCAGGTAAGCCTTTCAGGCTAAAGCAAAGACTACACCAGCTATCTTGGTGTTTAAGTTGGGCGTCGCCCTTCTGCGCTTGCGCCCAGTGCCTGGCGGGTTGGCGTGTGCTTACTGCGCAAGCAATGAGCATTATTGCTGTCGCCTCTGTTAGATTGGCCACGTACGCAGGCGCAGTCAGGGAGCTGCCGTGTTTTTGTTTTTGTTTGTTTGTTTGGCCAAGCTCGGTCCTTCCTTCTCTTTCTAGTGCAGATTCACAGAGGTCAATCCTCTGCTCTTATGTTAAACTCTGGGATGGTTTCCTTAACCACTATTTAGGAAATAATGGGTGGGGAGGAGTACGGTGTATGGGAGAGCCATCCTTTCCGCCTTATATCTAATACTCAATTTTCTCAGTTTTGGTTAAGCCATTAACGCTGTATGACTGAGGCCAAAAGCTTGTAACCTCCCATGACAAATTTTTCCATCTTGTTATAGGAGACACACTACAACTTTGCAATTTTTAAAAAGCTGAAGTCTGGGGGGCGGGAGGAGTGGGAGAGAAACCAAAACCACGCCTCTGTGCTTAGAAGCCACATACTCCCAAAGGGTCCTGGTAAAGCGCTAACCCAAATGAATCAATTGCGCAGACGAATCATTGTTTTCCATGTAGTTTCATTATTTTTTAACATAAGCAAATAATGTATATTTTTTACACTGAATAAAATCTAGCTCTTTAAAGCTACTTATCTAAGAAAAAGATTAGAGGTAAAGCGGAGAGGCTGATTTTCTTAAATATCGCAGAATTTAGTATCCATCCAAATCAGTGTTTCCATTTAACAATGCTGTCATGGCTCAAAACATTTTAAAAACTGCTCTTTTCAAATTTTGAGTGCTGAAACTTCATGCTAATAATTTTGTAGAACCACACATTTTAGGAATCATAGAGAACTGGCAGAGAAGACAAGCGCAACTAGTGGCATGGGAGTTCTTAAAATAGTTATAACATAGCACTTTACTGTTTTAAAAAAGATTTCACAAACTTGTCTTAATTGGTTCAATTATTAACCCTGCTCAACTAATCAATCAGTGGTGAACTTAAAATAATGGGATTATCTTGAAACAGTTCAAGACAAGTTATAACATGAAAGATCATAATTATTCTTCATTCATTCTGAGAATAGAAAAAGAAAAGCTTAATTATATTAGGCAGGATTAAGTTACCTAAATCCCAGACATGAGGATGATTTGGAGTCACCATTCCTGATGTAAGACATGTTAACAATAGCTACCATTTTTTGAGCACTTACTCTGTCCCAGGTACTATCTGTCCTAAGCACTTTAAGTATGTGATTGCTTTTAAGGCTTACAATAACTCTGAGGCAGGTACCATCACAATAGCCATTTTTTCAAAGGAGGAAAACAAAGTCCAGAGGGGTTACTAAAATCACAACTAATAAGTGGCAAAGTCCAGATTCTTCTGTCCTATTTAAGTTAAGGGTGGGGATTGTCCAGCCGACCCATGGGCTGTATGAGGATCAAGAAATCTTTTGGTCTGGCCCTGCCAAGGCATTAGGGGTGAGTTAATTAAATGTTTGACCAAATATAGCAGGTTAATTTTTAAGTTGATAATTTTGTATGTCCTGTGAATGATGTTATAAATATCCAAATGGTCCTTGGCAGAAAAAAGGTTCCCCACCCCTTAAAGTGAAAACGTGCCTCTGGATATTTCTCTGGCCACTGTTTTTGTACCCATAAGCACTTGATGACTACTTATTAAATTATTTCATGAATAAATGCAGGTTTAAATGATCTATCTTTCACAGCTATCTTGTAAAGTAGGTATATCATTTCTATTTTACAGTTGATACAATTCCAGAGAGATTCATGTCACATAATTAGATAGCAGTAGAATCTCAGCTAGTACCAAGATCTCCTGAAAGCCAATGTTAAAGTTCCCAGGACACTTGTAAAGTTTATAAAAAATGGCAGCTAAATGTGAGTAAAGTCAGGGTGTATGCAGGAGGCAGTAGTTAAATATAGAACAGAGGTTCAAAAACAAACTATCTAAATAGCAGGAAAATATGGAGTATACCAGAGAACAAGATCTTACCTCCACTCTACTGCTCATTATACTTTTTAAAGAGTTTGCTAATATTCTTGGCAGCTAAGAATTTTTAATGAATATATTTTGAATGAATAGACAAAATTTCATCATGCCTAAGCATAATAGATATCTAATTTAAAAAATTCTAAATACCGTAACATTAAGATAATGGACGTAATAAAACAAGGAAAGAGCAACTAAGAGACTGCTTTTAAAAAGTGGGTAGTAATATGAAATGACTAAGTACATGAGATGGAGATAAGTTTCCACCTATTACCAAACGGGAGACATTCTCTTTAAAGTGCAGCTACATGTCAAGAACCCAAAACCTGTAAAGATATAGCCGGGACTCATAATACATACACAAGTTGGAATGTCAAAAGGAACAAGTATTACAAAAACAAAGAATTCTGTATACTATAGTGGCAAACACATAATTACAACATTTAAAGAACTTATTTTTACTACTTCTCATTTCTACCCACACTATTATACCAACTTAGCTGTGTTTCATGATCAACTCTTGCTGTTCTATAGTAATATGCCATGATCTCAGATTGCTGGTTTGTTTAGACATACCTTGACACTTATGCTACTCCTGTTTCTATGACCCCGTCTGCTGCCATTTGCCCCTTATAAAAGGTGTCCCACAAACATGCCATAATTAGCTCTTTATTTCACCAGTTGTCATGGCAACTTTTAAGCAACATGTTAATTCACAAGAGCAAGTTGACCCCAAGCCCACAAATTACAAACATCCCAAGCCTCCCATAAATTTACATGAAGAGTAAAAGAAGCTAGGTAGGCAAGAGTGATGTGAAGAAAACCTGGAAATGATGGCCAAGGTAGCATCCATCTTCTTATATATCCTTGAGTTTCTCCTAATTGTTAAGCTCCTGAAAATTAGGGATTCCACGAAATTGTTTGACTTCTCAGAGTTAGGGACTGTGCATGTGTTCAACAAATGATTGTATAGTTGTTATTGTGAACAACAGAATGCATTATAATTTTTTGAGCAGATGGAGTGGGAGGTTTGCTAAGACCATGAGATAAAGAGATACATACATTGGTCAAAAACAGAGTTTGCATTTCTAATCCAGCTGGCAGGAAAATATAGGCAATTTAAAGGAAACTTTTCAAAAGTGCGTTTAAAAACTCTCATATTACAAGTAGAAAACAAACATTGAGGAATAAAATGACGACTGGGCTTGGCAAGTTTAATATGAATCAACTGAATTAAGGGCCAGGTAAAATTAGTTTTGCTAAATTTTGAAACCAATTTCATAATGATTAAATTTCTTGTACTTTCTAGATATGTATGATTAACACAATACAATGATCATCTTTCAGGGTCATTCAATTGGTGAGGATGAAATGATTTAATATTTCTAAAGTTCTTAGAATAATGCCAAGCACACAGTAACTGCTGTGTAGATGTTTGTAAAATAAAATAAATAATTTCAGGTCGCACACATGCCAAATAATGATTTCCAGGGTCTCCAAAAATCCTATAAAGTAAAACACTTCTGCTACTTGTTCTTCAGGGCTTTTCCTGATATTTTTGAAGTTAACAGTACTTGTAAAATGGAGATGAGTGCTTCTCACTGTAAACGCTCGTAAGATTCTTTGTTTTTACACCATTGCTTTTGTTTTTTCACTTCCCTTTAGTCTAGTCACCAAATAGATCATCTGAAAACGAAATCGGCCACTCCTGACGAAGACCAACAAAATCGAAGGGTTAAAAAAAAAATGAGCGGGGATCGCAGAAATCAGAGCACACAAATTGGGAATGACATAACGCAGAGTCCTCATGTTTCTGTTTCCCTTGAATATTGGCTCAAACTCTTCCAGAAAGATGATGCTCCAGTGTCTCTAAGTTATTGGTTCTATTCAAAATCGGGCGCTAGGTTCCCCTGGCCAATACCAACTAGGAAAGCGCCGGGGCCCCCAGGAAACGCTCCTCCCCTTTGGGGGAGGTTTGCGGGGGCGGGACTCCCACGCATGCTCTGTGCCCGCGGGACCATGGGCGCGGCTGCCTGGCGCGTGCGCAGGACCCGATGGGTGCCCGAATGCGGAAGACCTGGCTCCGCGGAGGTTCCCGCTTCCGAAGCGTGGGAGGAGCAAAAGAAGGCAGGTTGTAGATTTTGGTCTTGGCACCAAGGGGTTCCCCCGGGCCATTAGAAACAAAGAGAGGAAGATCAGGCACCGTGGTGGTGGCTGAGGGGCTGAACCCCCCACCTGTTCTCCAGGTGGGAGGGGGGTAGGGAGAGGAGAAGTACCGAAAACAGGGCTGAGGAGCCTCTGGGACAGGGTCCCAGAGCATGGGGGGCTGGACCCCGTCCCTAAGCATGGGGAGCTGGAGCCGCCAAGGCCGCCCAACTGGGTCCTGCCCAACTGTCAGCTCCTCGGTGATAGCGCCGCTGCAGGGTCTATAGCCCGGCCCCCGCTTGAGGTCCTTGGCTAAAAGATAGCATGAGTTCCGCTGCTGCCTAGTTTCCTCTCCCTCCTACTCTTCTCCCCTGTCCTCTTTCCTGTCCTTCCTTCTCCCCCATACATTGTCCTTCTTTTCCTCCCCCCCCCCGCCCTGCTCCTCTTCCCTCCCTCCGACCCTTCCCTCCCTCTCCCCCCTGTCTTTCAATTCCTTCTTTCCTCCGCCTTTTACACTGTTTTCAATCTGTCCTTTCCCCTCCCGTTTGCTCTTTTCCGACCTCCTTTCACCCCTTTTTCTTCTTTCTTCCTTTATTCTGTCACCCTCCATTACCTTTCCACTCTCCTTCCCTCCTTCGATATCATCCCTCCTCATCCTCATCCTCATCCTCATCCTCCTTCCCTCCTGCTTTTCTCCGCCCCTTAGCCCCCGCC